TTTTTTTTTAAATCGTTGTCATTTGGAAATGAGATCGCACATAAGTATGAATCGAGATCGCGATTTTCTAACGATTAATCGTGCAGCCCTAATATTTTGCATGGTTGGATCTTAACAAGGTTGCAAGTCAAGCTTCAACATACAACAAGAAGAAAGAGTGAGACAAAACATTTTGTTGAGCATGTAGTTTATTGAAACTAAAACAGGCCGTTTTACAGCTGCTCAAACGTTTAGGGCTACGTGCCTTTAAAGGGCCAAATCTGTGCAAAACTGTGGATTTATTGTCATTTTCTGTCATGAAATTCTGATGGCAAAGGCAAAAAATCTTTTCCTTAACCTTCCCCCTGTGGTTTGAACTTTTGATCGGGACTATATGACAGGTTATTTACAAAACTTATAGCCGCCCAATCAGCTTCTGCTGCACTTTAGCTTACCAGTCAGCTGTGCTAGCGTATGCCCACACAGAACATGGGTGCTGTTTCTTAAACTAGTTGGACAAACTGAGATTTTCCTGCTAATAAACTACCCTCTGTTTGCTTTCCAGTCAGAGCGTGGCGAATGGCTGCAGTTCCAGGGTGACCTGCAGGTGGCGGTGGCGGTGGCAGATCGCCTGAGAGCTGAGGCAGAAGAGGAGTTGACGGCGATCCGAACAGCCCACAAAGACATTGAGAGGGAGCTGTCTGCTGCCCAGCAGAGACAGAAAGAGGCTGATGTGCAGCTGGTTACTCTGAGGGAAGAGTTGAAGGAGAGCAGGCAAAAACTGGCTAATCTCACCAAGGTCCAGGGCAAAAGGGAAGCCCAGGAACCTTGTCATGAACCTGAGAAGCCAAATGGAGAATCTAACAAGTCTGAGAGCAAAGAAGAAAGCCACAGAGGCAGGGAGAGGGCGGTGTACAGGTTAGGAAGAGAAGGGCTGGAACGTAAGAGTCAGAACGAGGTGGTGAAGAATGTCGCTGACGAAGAGGCGAAAACAGACTGTAAAGATGTGACTAAGCGCTACCTGAGAAATGTGACCAATGAGGACAGGAACAGAGAGGCGGTGCGATCCAGTGAAACACGCAGGATGGTGACTACAGAGAGGTCAAGGTGAGAAAACGGTTCGAGCCTAAGCGTACAAACAAACCCTCTCTGCTCCACATCATCTCTGCTAACAATCACCAAACTCGGTCAGGACTGCGGCTGTGCTTTCTCTATAACGTACTGCATTAAGTCGACCACTTGAAAAGAATTTAAACAGTCTACACGTGGAGCGTGAAGCAGCTGTGTCAGGAGAGTTGATTTGGTTTGTTTTATCCATTCTCTGCTGCAGAAGCCTGTCCAGATTACCCAGCTCCTCAGAATCCAACACCATGCTGAACGGCACCTCCCAGCCCAGTTCTGCTGCAACAGCTGCTGCTGCAAACAAGGTGGGACTCATACACAGGAAGTGGCTTCATTAGGGTCTGCTTGTTAATGAAGACATGCATATACCTAATTAGATACTTTTTTTTCTTTAAAAGAACTTGTTGCAATTAAGAGGTCGAAATCTGGACTGGCAGGACGGCAGGTCGAGCAGTGACGCAGGTGAGCCCACCCACGCCTCATACTACTA